GAAAATTCAAAATAAGTTCCCCCCAGGAACATTATAGGTTCCTGGATGATTCCCTGAACCTATGACACGGAACAGGCCCTCTCCTAGACTCCTTCACCAGGGGCACAGATGATGACGAAATGTGAAACCTTACGAATCGTTGACCGTCGCCCTCTGAGAATCAGACTCAGCGAGAGGGAAAACCCAAAATAAATCAGATAGATCACGTAAGCCTCATTCATAGACTTTGATAATTCAGACGCACTCCCTAACTTCATAACCAACGAGTGAAGCGATCGAATCCATACCAGACAATATCACCAGTCATAGATCACTCTATAAAGTAACAACTTTCGACTAGCCCCACTACCTCGTACAGCCATTGTCGTGCCAGTACGTTGATCTCTCGCGTTCTTCTCTCTACACCTGATCCCCACCCAGCCGGATAGTACAGCGAAAAATACGAGTCCATCTCAGCTGCGCACAGCGAAGGATTCTCGGCGTGGTTCACCACCTGTAACGTCACCGCCAAGTCACCAATAGCCTCTTCACATCGCAACTGCCTCGTCCCAATGACCACCGCCAATCTCGACTTGATATCCCCTTCATACCTCGCCAAGTCCCGAGGAGACTCCAACAAGTAATGCGGGAAGTCCTTCCTACTCACACTATGATAAAACACTCTCTTCTCAATACAGTCACCAGCGCCTTCCTCTCGCACCAATTCTTCTACCTCCACCCGACCGCCCATCACCAACCCAAACTCAGGTGTCACAAAATCGATCCCCTCAACGTACTGAGCGTGATGATGATGCATTGAATCATCAGCATCGCTGCGCTCCTTCTCCACAGATCGCCACCGTAATATTAGTTCGCGAATGCAGTGAGCGTAAAATGCCAACCTCTTCCGTAAGGACCTCGCCCGATCCACCACCACCACTGAGTAGTCAGCCAACATCTCCCTGAATGACCTCCAATTCATCGTCAACATCGTTAAAGCCGTAATAAAAATGCCCAATATGGATGCAATAGGAGACGGTATCTTCTCGACCTGTGAATGGCCCAAGAACAGTACAAGCAGCGTCATCGTCTGCATCAACCACACGAAAGAGTCACCAGTGAGTAAGCTCTTGCCAACAACATGGGCCTTAGTATTGGTAGTAGTCCCTCTGGAGCTCTCCATATCCTGGATATTGAGCCTAACCTCGTACACCAAAATGAGCAACTTCAGTAGCAGAAAGAGCACCATCTTCGACGGCCCTAACGTAGCATCTCCCTGGTCACCA